TTCCTCCACGCCCAAAATCCTCCAATAGAAACCACTTCTTGAAGTATAATGATGTGGGGGTGAGTATGGACGATTCAGATGAGCTGCATCATTATACTTCAAGATGTGGTTTCTATTGGAGGATAAAGCAAGTTCAAGTGCTTTACTTTGTTGCCACTCTAAAGTAATTGGGTTCATGTTTTGGGATTATGATACAAAATACTGTCTTGTTGCTTATAAACTACGTATGTTTTAATAATTGGTTTTTCCAAAATTAGAGTGTTCACTAGGTGGTGGAAGATGATGCAAAACCATCCCAAGAGGTTGAAGATGAAACTTCTCAATGTTCTCATGAATTCGTCATTGATGAAGAACAAGGAATTTTATGCAAGTTCTGCTCCTTCGTGAAAGTCGAGGCTAAATACATTGCAGCACCTTTTGTAAGTACTGCTTAAATGTTTTCTTATGTTGATAATAAGTTAAAAGTATTTGCCTTATCTCTGAGTATGTGAAGTACATTATATTGAATCATCTGTATTTCCTGATATTGGAATTGCTAATCTAGAGCAGTATGAATTATCTTTCACAAGCATGAGTATCTTTTAGTGTGATCAACTATTTATCTAGTTTTGATTATAATGCATTTAATATTCTGTGTTTGGTGGCGCCAAAGTTTGCGGATTCAACGCAATCCAGAGTTGTCAAAAAGGCGTGGACGCAAGCCGAAAGAAGCCAAAGGGAAATGGGCTTCTCTGACCAGCTCCATCGGCAAAGTTTCTTCTGACAAATGCCAAGATGAAGAAAAGAATTGTGCATATACATAAAGGAATGGTTTTAAAAGAAAGTCTGCCTGTGTTGAAGCACTCTTCGGTTATTTTACAGTCAGATGATTTCCACAAGAGCCTCCTTGAAGATGTTAAAAGATCTTATCGTAAGCAAAGCAGTGGTGTTCAAAGATCAAAAAGCTTTCTTAACTTGGATCATATTGTGTCTGCTGTGACATCTGTGCATCCTTCCTTGTTGCCTGAGCAATGCTACGAGGAAGAGGAGTTTGTTTTTCACAAGTTTAAGCTGGAAAAGCTTAGACTGAATGCTGAGGCAGGAATCAAAACCAAGTTTTTCATGATACTTCTCAAGCTTAGTGCTGCTATGAGTGAAAAAGGTATTGGTTTTCAGCCAATACATTGAGCCATTAACCTTGATAATGGACCAACATAAACGTACTTTGAATTGGATTCAAGGCAAGGAGGTGCTATATATGGATGGGAAGCAAGATTTAAAGAAGCGGCAGTCGTCGATCAGATTGTTCGATGATCCAAAGAGTGAAGCAAATGTATTGCTTGCCTCAACAAGGGCTTGTGGTGAAGGAATAAATCCTGTGGGGGCTTCACGGGTTGTGTTGCTCGATGTTACCTGGAATCCGGCTGTTGAAAGACAAGCAATAAGCAGAGCATATAGGCTTGGTCAGAAGAAATCTGTGTATGTTTATCATCTTATTGCGTCGGGGACTATGGAAGAGAGTAAATGTTGTAGACAAGCGAGAAAGGACCGATATTCTGAGTTGGTATTCTCTTCTTCAGATGGAAGTGGCAATCAGCAGAAACCTGCAAGTGAAGAGTTAAGAGGATAGAGTTTTGGAAGAGATGGTGCAACGTCACAAAATTCGTTAAGAAGATAATTGAGCAGCCTGAAGAGTCTAAGTTGATTGAGACTTTCGGCTTAACGTGATCAGAAATTTGTAATAGATTCCAAACTAAAATTGTTATATTTTACTACTTTAAAATTGGAGTCCATGAATTCGAGTTCAAAATTAGAGTTTTATTCAATCTTATAATATTTGGAAAATAGTAAAATATGAAATGGGAGTTTCTGTCAAACTTAAACCTGAACATCTGATAAACCCTTCTTAAGTATCTCTAAGAGTGATAGTAGCTCTTGGGTTTATTATTCAATAGGTTTTGACTTTGATTCCCTTTAATTGTTAATAGAGATATCCACTTGAGAGTTTACCCAATCGTTAATTTCAGGGTTTCAGGGGATTAGTTAAGGTGTGCGCAAACTAATCCAGACACTCTCGTCACAAGAAAAAAACCAAAAAAAAAAAAAAAAAGGTATCTCTAATAATGTAAATAATCGTATCATTTGCGCCAAAATTACAATTAAAAACAAACTCATAGATATTGATTTCAATAATAATTGTAAGAACCCATCTTCGATTCACTTCGTAAATTTATCAAATAAGTGTAATATTTGATCTTAATTAATTTTGCTGATTTGAGTAAATTAAAAGAAATTTTATCCAATCCAATAATTAAGCCAAAAAACAAACTAAATGAAATTTAGTTTATAAATAAACAAAACACATTTGATACAAACCTAAAAAATTAACGTTTTAATATAGGACAAATTCTATATTTAATTTAATTAACTCAAATTAGAAAAATTAATTAAATATTCAATTACTGTCGAGCGTGTTGACAATTTTGAGAGCCTTAACGAGCCTTACTGGTGTCAGAATAATAGTTGGGCTTGATGGGCCCTTTTATGAGATGTATGGCCCATGGGCTAGATAATCAAGGCCCAATTTTCATTTTTCGTTAGTAAAGTGAATAGGATAAAAAAAAAAATAAAAAAATATTAGAGATAAGGTACTTTAAATTTGTTTTTGAATAAAAAATAAAAACTTATAAACTCACCCACTCTGCTCATATATCATAAAATGGCACCGTTTTAACTATAAATATTAGTTATTTTTTTATTAATAAATATATATGTTTTGAGTATTTTTGAAATATTTTTTAATAACTATATGGAAACATGATTATATTACCCTTTGCATCTCTAAATTTGTATAATTTTTTTGAATAATTTATAAATTTCTTAAACTAGTTTTATGAATTCGATTTTAAAATCAGAGTCTTGTTCAATCTTCCAATATTTGGAAAATGGGGAATATGAAACCCTATTGAATCCTAGAGTATGGGAGAAGCACTAAACATGACCGAACTTGAACTTAAACATTTGACCAACTCTTTTTGGGTATATTATTCAAATAATTTTGAGTTTGATTCCTCTCGGTTGTTAATAAGAGTGGCTACTAGAGGGTTTACTCGATCATTAATTTCAGAGTCCCGAAAGATTAGTCGAGGTGCACATAAACTGACTCAGATATCTCCGATAAAAAAAAATTGTATCTCTAATAATATAAATAATCGTATCAAATAAAATACAATTAAAAACGAACTCATAGATATTGATTTCAATAATAATTGTAAGAACCCATCTTCTATTCACTTCCTATATTTATCAAATAAGTGTTCTATTTGATCTTAATCTTAATATTATTTTTGGATTATAAAGGAATTATTGTAATCAAAATACAAAACCATAAATAAAGCTTATCCCAAGTAGGGTTGAGAAGTGAGTCGAGCAGTTCGCGAGCTACTCGACTTGAAGTCAATCGAGTCAAGCTTGAGCTCGAGTGACTCGTTTAAGGGGTTGAGTTGAGTTCAATTAGGGCAAAGCTTGACTCGATAGACTCGCAAGCCTCATCACGCTCAGAGGGCTAAATTGTAAGTTTTATAATTTTTTTTATTTTCAAGTTTTTAAAATAACAAACAGCCCCTTTTCACAATAAACTCGAAACTCGAACAAATACAAACTCAAATACCCATCTATACTCGCGAGCTCAAGCTCGATCCTAAATATTCACACTCAAAGTCAAACTCGAACTTGATATTACTCGTCATGAACCAACCTCGAGTGTCTAGATACTCGACTCGGCTCGGCTCGGCTAGACTCTTCTCTTATACACCTGTTACCCAGGCTCAATAGAGCATAAGCATGTCATCATCGGTCTTCTCAATCGGATCAAGTTAAGCCAAACAGTCACTAAACGTACGTCTTGTCGTATGACAAGAACCTTTAACCACACCCATTAAAACCCGAAGTTTTGGTCAATGACGTTGCAGAAAGCCATCAACAGTAACAAATGTCCATGTCATCATCAACTTCCCAAGAATCCCGTGCTCTCCATAGTAAAAAAGATACAGTAACAGTGACTACCATCAATTTAAAAATCACTGCACTATTTTTTATCCTACTCGAACCGTGGGTCCCCTTTATTCACGATAAATGCAGAATGCCAACTGTACGGGCACTGGAATCAGACCGGTGAAAAAATCTGGACCCACAGTCCACCAATTTTAATTTTTTTCTATTTCCAAATTAAAATAGAAAAAAATTGCTTAACCCCCAAGGTTTAATCAAGTGCAAGCTCCCCCTAACATGTCAGAAGCAACATAAATCCCCTTATCATTAGTGTGCTATTATGAAATAACTAATATTTACCCAATTAATTTGCTAAGAGAATTTTTGTTATTATTATAACTACAAAGGTAATTTTTCTATTTAATTATTATTTTAAGAGATTATTACTAACCCAACAAAAAAAAAAAAAAAAATCCCCTTGACGTTAGTGTGCTATCATGAATTAACGAATACCTAATTACATTTTTATCGTTTATTTTAACACAAAAAATCAACAAAAATTTGGTTACTTTTTTTGGATAATCGGACTATCCGAGATTGCTTGTACATACTTCAATTAAACTAATTTCTGAGGTTCATTAAACACTTTACAAGCACAAAGGGCTATATAAATTCATAATGTAGTAGATGGTCCTAAGATTCGAACCCAAGAACTCAATAAAGAAAGTAAACTTTCTTGACGGTCAAACTAACTATTGAGATTAATTTTAGTAATTACTATAATTACAAATGGATTTTTGTTATTTAATTATTTTTTGAAGGGATCATTAGCAAACCTAAAAAAAAAATCCGAACCCAACAAATTCAACCATATACATCTCTAATAATAAATTGCCTTAATAATGTAGACCAAATATACAAAGAGATTAAATGAATGGAATAATTACCATTAATATATGCAGAGGAGGGAGTAAATGTAAAAACTTGAGTGCTCGATCAAAATAATGTAGTACATCTGACTTTACTCAAAGTAAGTTCCGTGAATTACCCACTGGGTAAAACAATGAATGTACAGTTGAGGAAGGTATTGGAATTTGGGAAAATAAAAGAGAGTTGCAGGAAGGGAAGGAGGCAAATTTAGTATTTTAATGCAAACAATTATGGTGGGTATCTGTTGCCAAACTGATGTAACTTCCTTCTGAAATTTGCAGAATCGGAAAAAATTAATTCAGAATTTAAAGAACAAAATAATCCCATTAATTAATAAAATCTCTTTATTGAGCTGCTAGAGTCCAGACTAGGAAACAGAGTCATAAAACATGTTGATTCTGGCATTGCTTTCCTTTCAATCCCTCCTGTCACTGTTGGAATTGCTTGCTTCCTCCAACACCAAAAAAGCCAAAGTTATTGGGGAAAAATCTGAAACGTTTAATCAAATCTCAAATCTAAGATCAAATCAACATAAATGGAGACACCAATAAAGGAAGAATATAATTTTTAAAACAAAAGAAAAGAAAAAAATGTACATTCACAGTAGGGATTAGTCTATTCTGTTCAATTTTCTTTCATGTTTTCAGTAATAACAAATGAAATATAAAAAAACCAAAAAGTCTAACAAGATCTTTTTTACTGAAAATGATCAAACTCATTTTCCTGGAAAATATTTTCCTAGAAAATTAAGGCCTCTATACTAGCCTTCTTTGGCGTTAAACAAACGGGGCAAGATTCAAGAAACGCCTCGCAATTTTTGCATGAACAAAGGTGCCTACAAGGAAGGAACAAAACGCACGAATCCCCAGAATTACAGCCTTTGCAAACGTTCACCATCATCATCATATTTTTTGTTCTTTCGTCTTTATTTTCACCACAATCAATGCAATTTCCAGCTCTGTTTCGCTCTGCTTCTTCTTCTTCTTCTCGTTCCGGTAAATCACAGCAAGACTCTGCATCTTCGACTCCATTGTTAAAGCAACAAGAACCCTTTTCTCTGAGCTGTTCAATCGTGTTGTTGAGTGAATAAACCATTGATTCGTTCTCTTGAGCTATTCTTTGCCACGCTTGGCTCTCTGTCTCTAATTTCTTCAACAAAATCTCCAGCTCCATTGCTCTGTTTGTTGCTTTTGCTATCTCTTCATCTTTTTGTCTCAATAAAGTTGAAGCCTTTACCTCTAGTTTCTTCAGCAGCATCCCGAGTTGTTGCTTTCTTTGCTCTTGTAACACCATTCTCAATCTTTCATTCTGTTCAAACAAAAACCAAAAAAAAAAAAAAAAAAAAAAAAAGAAAAGAAAATCGATCACAAATAAACAAAAACAAGAACTTTAACACAGAATGAATGTAAAAATTAATGCCTACCTGTGATCTGATATAGTGATCAATCTCTTGTCTTTGCTTCTCAACCTGAAGAGCCATAGTTTGAGAAAATGGCATTGATTGATGATGATGGTAAGTGTTGGTGTTGGAGTTACTACTATTCTTCAAGAAATTTGCAGAATTGATGTCAAAACACAAACTTTGAGAAGTAGTAAGATTATTTCTCTGATGCTGCTGATTTTGTAACTGATAAAAGTGTTGTTGTTGCAGTTGCTTTTGTTGTGTTTCGAAACAAAACTGATTAAACCCACCGTTACCAACACCACAACAGCCATTACCATTACCATTCTCCATCATCCAATCTTGTGATGAACCGCACAATGCAAAGCCAAAACCAAACCCAACATTATTATTCTCTGAATATAACTGCGCTTGTATAGCCATTCAACCAAAACCAAGCCTTTCTTCTGTCTTAAACCTTAACCAACACAAACAAGAAAACTCCGAAATGGGTTCTCTTCTCTCTCTGGAGAATGAATGATTTAGAGGAAGAACATATAAAAAACAAGAAGAGGTGGTGGGGGTGGAGAGTGAATATATTTATAAGAGAGGTGGTGGGGAAGAGGTTGAATTGAATAATGAAATTTGATTTCGATATTTTATAAAATATATAAGAGAGATTGGTGGTTGTTTTTCTCTCTCTCTTTTAATGGGGAAAGAAGAGCTTTAGTTAATAAGGGTGTCCACTTTTTTCTCTTAACGTATAAGAATTAAAGAGTATTTTGTATGGGGAAGGAAGCAGTAAGCAAAGCAACAACGTACACATGCAGATTTTATGACTAAACTATCGGGTCAGAGAGAGATCAGAGGCGTTTGTTTTGTTTTGTTTTATTTGTTTTTCTTTTTCGTTTTTCGAAACAACACTGCTTCAATTCCAACTGGGTTTTGGGTAAGACTCTGAATCACTCTGTCTATCCATGAATCCATCCACCCATCTATCTGAACCAGTCAGCTGTTATTTTTTAGAGAAAATATAAATAATTAAAATCAGAAAATTGTCAGATTGGTCATTTGAAAAAGCCTGAAGAATAGCATAATAATAGTTCAATTAATTTAGGGTAAAAAAACAGGTTCAGGATCCTGATTTAAGGACTGCTAAGTATGGAGATCTTAAGTAGTTAATGCTTTGTTTATAAAAGATATTTGGGAATGGGAGGGAGCTGGCAAGTTTGACCTTGTAAAAATTTACTCTTTTTTTGTCCTTATCACATGAGACATTAATTTTTATTAGGAAATGTTCTTATTAAGGAAGAAAATTATTAATTAGAGTATCTTTGAAAAATAAAAAGGTAATCTTAAATTCTAGATTATATTTTGTTGAAAATATCAAAATATATAATTAATTGAATTTTAGAAGCATCTACAAACATTGTAGAGGATCATATGCTGATCTTGTTCGACAACAAAGGTTTTTTCTTTTTTAGTATGAAGCTTTTTTTTTCCTTTTTTCGTGTATAATTAAAACCCACTTTTCACTTTTTTACTTAAAAGTTAATAGAATTCATTCTCATCTCATATGATATGCCCACAAAGGGAATAAGAATCATAAATTAAATATAAATGTAAAGGCTTTATTATTAGTATTATTGCATTCGCATGCTTTGAAAGCAAAGATCGGAATGGATGCTAATTGTTGGAATAATAATTTATTAATTAAACCCATTTTATTAGAGTAAACAACTTTTTTCCTATACAAATAATTGGTTCGTGACACTAACCTACCTAAATTTGTATTCATTTTTCATTTCGACATCGTTACAATCCTATACTACCACAATTCTCTTCCCTGATAATCACTCACTAAAATCCCTGAAACTCTACTCCTGCCGACATCGCCAATCGCTAGCAATCGAGCGATTAGAGTTTGAGTAATTACTCTTTTTAAGTCAAATTTTGATCAATCCCAATTACCAAAAGACTCATCGACCTCCTCTATTCAAAAGCTCTAATAGTTTGAACCTAATTTACTCTCTGTTCACCGCTGGAACATAAATTTAGGTAGTAAAATAGTATTTTAAAAGTTCGTAGGTGGGAAAATGTCATCAAACCATTATTTGGGTGGAAAAAAGTCATCAACTCCATTTTATTTGATGGATCTTGTCATTGCTGTGCTGGCCGGTTTCAAAGTCTTTGTAGAGTAGATATTGATTAATTTAGTAATTAAGATATTGATTAATATTTTAAACCTTTGTTATTTTTTTGGTTTGATCCATTAAGATAAGGTCATTAAGCAATACAAAAATCGCCTCCAACATGGACGTCCGGTTTGTATAGGATTTTATGTAAACTAATTAAAACCATTTTAAGTAGTAATCATGTGATTAGGTTTTATAATATAGAAAAGGATAATGACGCTTACTCGATCCATCGAATCAATTATTCTTAATGACCTACTTGTTCAACAAAGGCATGCATGTGTTCATACCATTTTTCTAAGATTTCTATCATGGAAATCGTTCTTAACACGTACAATAATAATTCTATATACTTTAGACAAGTCTAATATCTCCACTACAAAAAGCCAACAGTGAATGTCATGCACAAACTCGTTTTATTTATCGATTAATATTACTTTCAGCAGATTCAAGTTTCAATCTCAATTCTGTCAATCACCTTTTTTTTTTTTTTTTAATGACCGAGGGTATCCGAGCTAGCTTACGCACATCTCAACTAATCTATTGGAACCTTAGAACTACTGCCGATAGGGATTAGGGGTGTTCTTAACCGGTTAACTGATTCTCTAAGCCGAATCGGTTTTTCGGTTCAGGAAAATTCCTAAACTGAAATCGAACCAGTTAAGGAGAAAACCAATTAGTAAAAACTAGTTAACCAGTTTTCTCTTTAACTTATTTTTTATTTTGATTTCTCTCTAATTTAACTTATTTTTTATTTTGAGAGGGAAAAGAAAAGTGAAAATCGGTGAGGGCTGAGAAGAAATATGTGTGTTTGTGTGATAAAAAAGAGGAGAAATGCATAAAGGGTGAAGAGTAAAGAGAAAATAATTTGAGGATATAGGGTTTTTTTAATATTAAAGTGAAAACCAGTTTTATAAACCAGTTTACGATTAACTGGTTTTAAAATTTTTTTAAATCAGTAACTGAACCGAATTTCCAATTTATGTATTTCCTTGAACCGAAATTGAATTGGTTTTCTAGATAACCGGTTTGATTCGATTTTTACATTCTTTTGAACATCGCTAACCGCTAGATAAGAGTTCTAGTGGCTACCTTTATTAGCAACCGAGAAGAGATTTGAATTCAAGACCTCTTGAGTAATACACCCATGAGTCTCTATCGAAACATTGGACCACCCAGAAGTAGTTTTATGTCAATCACTTTCATATTGTGGCTGACATCTTAATTAGGTCTTGACAAATCGTTGGTTGTTATAATAAAAACTTGGCAGAAAAAAATGGTCTAATATCGTGATTTCTTCTGTATAAAGTCTTGAAGACTTTGATGATAGAAAACCTAGCTATCAAGAGATTAAGTAAATGGAAGAAATAGCTCATTCAACACTCTATAATATGTTAACCCCACTTGAAATTTTTTTGTCAAACCAACAATCAGAAGACAAAAGGAAGTACCCACGAATTCTGAAATCTTCTAAACCGTGTTAGATATTTCATGCATATATCTTTCTTTATTATCTTCTACTTTCCCTCTCTAGAATATTGAATTGAGAAGTTGTAAAATCTTATCTATAAATCCTTGTTTGATATGTCACATCATCATGGTCATACATGCAATGTAAAAGAGATTAGATTATACCCAAAAGCTCTAAAATGGTATAAATAATGGAGAGATGTATGTGTTGATCATCAATCTATAATTTTGTTTTATCTTAATCGATGAGAATTAATTTATTATTAAAAAGAAGTTGAAGTTGGAAAATGAAGGGTTATCTAGAAAGAAGAAATGTGGTTTTGAAGAGGCACATGGATGTGAAAAAAAGAGGTCCATAAACACGCCCCACCTTGGACGGTTGCAATGGATGGATCCTAAATCACGGAAATTTGTTCATGTCAGCAAAGATTCTTATAAAAGAACCCTAAAGGTCCACACCACACTCATCACCTACACAAATTTTAAAGTTATTAAAGAAAGTCTTCCAGGGAATGGAGAAAAACCAAAACGCATAAAAACAATCTCTTTTGCGTTACACTTCCCCATGTCTTTTCTTTTCTTTTCAATCCAATCAATTAATTGTTTACAAATCTCCCCGTCACCGTCGTTTGTTGAAAACATGGAATTTGGCTTTTGGTTTCGCATGCATATGATTCATATATATCTTGTTCTTAATGTCTTTATTTGGGAAGGTGAGAGGAAGAAACATGGCAAAATTTTGTAAGCACGAAGGTTTACAGATGGTAGTGGGGTGTGGCCCCATGTGCTGCCCACCAACTATGACCCCATGAACCATCTTTCACTCCTGCAGCAACCCAATGGTGCAAGCCATGTGAAACTGGTGAAAAAACAACACCACCACCACCAAAACCAAAACCAAAACCAATACTTGATCCTCTTGACTAGGTACAGTATTATTATTGTTTACTTAAAAGATGTGAAGATTTGTGTACGTATATGTGGTGGTGCAAAAAAATCCAAAACCTAGACTCTCGAATCTGGTGCAAATGCAAAACTTCTTCACTCTTTCCCTGCATCTTCCCAACTGCTTCCCTTTTGTTTTTATTTATGCTTTTCTTTTCTACTGCCAAATTGATTTCTATTGGATTCAATTCATGGGCCTCACTTTCAATTATGACTTGTGCCCACCACCCACCAGAGTTTTTTTTTTTCCAAGTTCTTCAAGCCATCATCAATAATGAAAACTCTTTCAAATAACGAAAAGGGATCTTTCAGTAGTCACTGTTGTAGTAACATGGGGGTAAAATTTTTACAAATGTGAGCAGAGAATTAAGGTCTCCCATTAATGGATACATAGAGTCAAAGAAGCATGAGTGTCGGTTTAATATAAAGTTTACCCCACACAATTAATTTAACATATTTTCATACTTACCGAGATGAGATCTTCTTCTACTGATTAATCTCACTAATAAATCAGTCTCTATCGTGTATTCACACTAATTACTTCTCTCTTAAACCTAATTCCTTGTGAAAAAAACAATTCACCTGCCGACAATTATTCAACATACTATTTAATTAACAGCTTCCTTAATCATCAATTAATCTTATATCTAGATTTGCCATGCATGCCACTGCCATCTTTTCAAAGGAAGCATCAAAGTATTTGCCATTAAGTTGTTTTATGTGCAACGTGCAGTCTGTATAGTTTGAAAGAGACGAGACGGTGAGTTCTGGAGAGTTATTGTGAGCTCATCAAGACGACTGCCTCTGCCATTAATTAATTAAATTAAAGCTACATTATCCTCTTGTCTTCTCAACTTCAATTTCATTGACCCACCACCACTAAAGACTTTTCATTATTTCATTTGCCACATTCCGTGACTTAAATGGAATGGCCAGCCATTGTTCCAATTAATAAACTCACCAATCCTCCTCTTTTCTCTGCCCATCTGAAGAAAGCACCCATCTATGACTATATAACTTGTATTATAATTTCTATGCATGAAATGGGCCACCATGCATGTTAATTCACTCAGATTTTTCTCAGAAGTAGAGAAAAGTCAAGTCTGTTTCGTCCATTCATACAGGTAGCTTAACTCACTGGACCAAGTGTGATTGTGATTCATCTCCATTATTAATTAAAGATGGTGGGAAGGTATGGTCTTTTTATTGTCTTCGTTTGAGCAACATCAGCAGCAGCCATGAACGGCCCCTATTAAATTAAGATTTAATATCTGCGAATATTGCACCACACTGTTACACGTGGAAACAGGTGGAAGCATCTGAAGATTAAATCAAAAATCAACATCATGTATCTGTATAACATAATTTAATATTATGGTAAAGATTAAATGTATTATACAAACACAATATCGATCCACATAATCAGCCATAGCTTTCCATTCGTCCCTTTCATTCATGCACCTTAAAACAACCATTTTTTTTATTCGATTTGAATGGATATAACTGATCATCTCACTTTCTCAAAATGTGGTTTTTATTTATTGAAGTAAATGAATGAAGATTCTCTTTGATATATACAGTACATGACAATGGACAAAATAATGGAAGGACTAGTCCTATTTTGCTTGTGAAATGCGATACTTCTTTTGGCAGCAAATTTTGCGCCATGCATTACGATTCTGACTTGAATTAAGAAGAAGAAATATAAAAATAATAGCAAGTAAGAAACTGAAAACACTTTTTAAAAATATGTTTTCATGTGTTATAGGGTTTTGGGTCACCAACTCTATTATTATCTCTCTTCCATGAAATAGAAATAGAAATAGAAATAGGGTTGGTTAATGTGACCCATGCAATATGTCAGGTGATTTCACATTCTCCATTGCAGAGAGAAGCACACGCAAGTCATGTGAAAGTGCTTTTGGAGAAGGTGATAGTGGAGGTTTCCCATGCTTTTTCTTTAAATTTTTCTACCAACTGCTGCTTTTCTTTTCTATTCAAATGCCTTCAATCAATTCATTCAATAAAAGCGAAAGCATGAAAGAAAAAAAAAATCAAATTCTTGAATGAATGAATAGTATGAGTAAACAAAACTGCTTTTTTTCACTGCTTCTTTTATTTCTTTCTTTCTTTTTTAGCTTCTGCTTCTTCCCGTGCAACTTTGACTGCATAATTTCTGGACCATGCCATAAGTTTTTCTTTGAATAATGGGAATCACTTATTGGCTTTTTCTATAAAGCGACTTCGCCTTGTTTTGACTTGCTTCTTGGTTTTGAGAAGTCTCTGTATATTATTAATTAGATATCAGTAATCAGCATGGGGTTTGATAAGGTCAAGAATTAGATATATCCTTCTCAACGACTCTAGAGAAGTGATGTTTTTTTCAACAAGTCTATCAAGAAATCAAAGGTTTTGAATTATTGGTTTTGACAGAAAATTTATGTGATTTCCATGTTATTTCCTTGATCAGTACTTTTAATTTATTTTTAACTTTGATGAAACAAAAACTATAATTTCCCCCTTTTTTTTTTTTAAATTTTTTATGAGCGAGGTGTTCGGACCAATTTGCGCGCATCTCAACTAATCATTCGAGACTCTAAAACTATCGGTCGGGTAAGATTCTCTCCTTTGTAACATATAAATAGCCATTAAGTTAAGAAAACAGGAATGACAAAATGTTAAGAGGTTAGGGCATGCGATAGAAACAAGTATAGGCGTAAATTAACTCCAATTTTTGGTGTTATTAATTGAATTTAGGGAGTAGGGACGTCATAAAACCCCTAGCTCGGCCCAAACATATTTATTCCAGGGCTTGGGCCTATGAAATCAGGCCCTGACCCATACCCAGGCTAGGCCCGTAATATTACATGGAATTAAAGAAAATTACAAAGAACCGCTAAACATATTTATTCTAGGGCTTGGGCCTACGAAATCAGGCCCTGACCCATGCCCAGATTAGGCCCGTAATATTATATGAAATGTTGAAAATTACAAAGAACCCCCTAAAGTTACTTTGGACCCCCAATTAAAGTTCCTATAGCCCTGAAAAAAGTTTTCCATCCACCATATACCAAATAAAATTTCAAAAAGACCCTTAATATTTCAACTAAACCCGAGCTTTAGGCTTGGATAGACCAAGCCCTGGTATTAAAAACTCGGGCTTTTTTATGGCCCTAGGGTTAGATTTCTTAATTGCACCTCGGTCCTAACTTGAGCAAGCTCGACTTCGGGCCATGAACGGACCCACATTGTGTCTAGTGGGGGCAACATCCTAGCCCCCATGGAACATAATGTGATCTTTATTTTAGTGACATTTTACCTAATCGATTAATGAATAAAAAAATGGTTATGAAGCTATAACAAAATTCTTAAAACTCATAAACTATATGAAAGATGCATATCAATAAACTAAAGGAAAAAAAAAAAAAATTAATTAACCCATAATGATATTCTCACTCATATTTTTAGGTTTATTTGGAGTTGCCCCAACTCATCAATTTGCTAGGTCCATCCCTGCCCGGCCCGGGGTATTTATCCCTAAACGGAAAGGGAGTATTGAGGGTGATTTCCGATGATTTTTGTAACTGTGAGGTGATTCATGTAATTTTCCTAAAGTGAAGAACCCTTTCAAATTTGCTACAGAATGTAAAGCTAGGTGATAGAAAATGACTAAATTATCCCATGATATAGACTTATATAGTTTATCACGGTTGATCACTCACAGCAGATTCTCTGAGAGCCGAATTAATTACAATTAACTTAACTAAAATAGTAATTAAACTTTGATTAAACTATAATTTCCGGTGCGTAGCGTGAAGGCCGAACAAGAAGAAATTCGAAGAAACGAATCAAAACTAAAGAGAAGTGTATAGAAGAAACCAGAGCCCGCGCCTTCACGTGTTCGTGATCCAAATACTCTTTTCTACGCTCAATTCTCCAGTTAATCTCTTCCAGGTTTTAATTTCATCTCCATTTGTGTTTCAGATCGTGCCACTTCAGCTCTTGGCTCCACTGTTTCTGGGTCCCATCTGATTTAACTAAAAACTTCGTTTCAGTTGTTTTGTGTTGTTCAGGAGTGTTGTAATTAGCGTAATAGTTAAAGCTTTTCCATGGCTAACACGTCAAAACCGAGACCCAAACCCAGACCGAAAGAGGGGAAATTGTCTGTTTATCTTTACATTCCCAATATAATTGGTAGGTATTATGAGTTTAGCGGTTATTCTTATTTGGTGGTTTTGAAATGTTTTGATGAATTGTTCATGGGTTTGTTTGGAAATTTTTCAGGGTATGTTCGAGTTCTCATGAATTCCGTTGCGTTTGCAATATGTTTCTCCGACAAATGGGTTTTCTCCATTCTTTACTTTATCAGGTGACGGGTGTGTTTTGTTTTTAATTTTTAAATTTATTATTTGTAGTGTTAGAGTGTAATCATGTTTACAATATTGTTGCAGCTTTGTTTGTGACGCTGTAGATGGTTGGTGTGCTCGAAAATTCAATCAAGGTTAGTTTAATTTTAGGTGTGAAAATCAGTATTTAATTTCATGTTGAATTTATGCATTTGGTTGTGGGTGTATGCACGTTTTGTGTGTAGAATTCTTTAATGCTATTTCAAACAATGAAAATGAGAATGAATTTATTTCATGTTGATGGTGTACGTTAATCCGGAATTATAGTCTTTCTTCAAATTAATGTGTTGTTGCCCAGTTGAATTAAGTCTTTGTTTGGCTTCTTAATCAATCCAGTGTGCTGCCTACCATATATTTTAATAATGTGTGCTGTTGTGTTTTTTTGGCTTGCTATTTTGATCAAGTGTCTTGTGTCTGAATTACATAGTATGTTTCGTGGTTATCATCAATAGAATTGAATAAGATGGGAACTTCAACGCTTTCTAGCTTAGAAAATTTGGTATATTATTAATTGTTAATGACAGACATTGTTGTTTAAGAGCCATGTTACTAGATTGAAGCCTTCTACTGTAATGGAACCTTAAGTTTATGTGTTCATGAAATTCTATTCCTAGTCTGTATTTAAATTGATGTTTCAGGGTGCGTGCATTATTCTTAAGGTTTTGTTATATAATGTGTGTTTCTATTTTAAGAGCAGAATTTGGTAGCTAGTACACATAAGATGAAACTTTTAATTAGCTTCTTCTCTTTCTGTTCAGTTTCAACTTTTGGAGCTGTATTGGACATGGTAACAGATAGGTATGTACCATTTCAATATTTATCACTTCTTTTTGGTCATAGTAATGCGTAAAATTTTGAATTACTTGGCTGTGCTTTTGTGCCTACATTTATTAATAATGTTTTGTATTTCAGGATTAGCACAGCTTGTCTGCTGGTAGTACTCTCCCAAGTATACAGGCAAGAGCTCTTTGTACTTAATTCTGCGAAGTTTATTATTTTGAAATATACATATAACTGAGCTATTTGATAGGATCTTCGTGCAGGCCTGGCTTTGTTTTTTTGTCACTGCTTGCACTAGATATTTCAAGCCATTGGCTGCAGATGTATAGGTAACTTTTCTTGTACTTAATATAATATTGTGTAATTGCTGAATGAATTTGGATATTTGTTGCTTTAAATTTGTTTCTTTTGTTCGGAAATATACCTACTGTGCTGGATATTTGTTGCAGTACATTTTTGACAGGCAAAACTAGTCATAAGGATGTAAAAGACAGCACAAATTGGCTTTTCAAGGCTTACTATGGGAACCGGATGTTTATGGCTTACTGTTGTGTGTCTTGTGAGGTAATTGTAGATTTCATTTGTCATTTTCCTTTTTCTTATAAATGTTACTGGTATTTGTCTCTTGATTTTTACATCCTTGCAGGTTCTTTACATAATCCTATTTCTTATTGCCAAGAGTCAGAGTGAAAGTTTAGTGGATGTAAGCGGTTATTTTTTGCAAGCTTGTCCAACATCTATGGTGCGTTTATTCATATCTTGATTTCTTATTTGTTTTTTCTTTCAGGTTTTATTGGGTACTCTGCAACGGGTTTCACCACTTTCTGTCTTGGTTGCTTTGAGTTTATTTGGATGGGCAGTCAAGCAACTGGTCAATGTTATACAGGTAGCATTTGGACTTCCTAATTCTGATTAGACCTCATGTCTAGTCAAAGGCTTCAAAATGAATAATTTATTGATTTTGGCAAAGAAATTTGATTTCCATATGGTAAAATTGGCATGATAGAGTTGTCAATCCTTGGAGGGATCAATTGGTCTGCACATACTTTATTTTACATTAACCTAAGAATTTATACTTTTATGCATATTTAATGCAATATTCTATATATACATTGAGATGCCCACTCTCTTGACCTTCACTTAGTTCAATTGTATTTTCTTTTTCTTAGTATTAGTTATTGATTGAAGACAGTAGAAAAATGCATCTAGTAAACTAAGGTAGGTATATTAATAAATATTGCACTTATTTGATTGGTGATCCATATTCTGTTAGGAGAATGACAGTTGTGCGTTTGAACTAATGCTTTATTTGAGAATAAGCCAAGATGGCTCCAGAAGAAGAGAGTGGATTTAAATCCTTGCATGACTTTATTTTCCACCACTAAAATTGGGAGTTGTTTAAACAAATGTTCAGGGAGACATTTTGTAATGGATTGAAAGTTCACATTCTTTTGTAGACATATCATTTCTTAGGATACCATATGACTGCGATATTCTTTTAGCAAGAATGGGTATTTCTTCACGATGTTAACTGTTGGATTGTTTTCACGGTTTCAGATGAAGACAGCAGCAGATGTGTGTGTGCTTTATGACATTGAGAAAAAGCACAAGCACTAGTTCATCAGCTTTCTTTATTTCAGATTACTCTCATTGTGGTTATCCTCAATTGCCTACTTTTCAGCGTTCCATCAGATATTTCGAAAGTGGCAGATTGATATTGGCCTGAAAAGAATTATGAATACTTTGGTGATTATAAAGTTGTTGGTTTTCCTCTCTGGTTCGCATTGGGTGTGTGCATTCCAAGAATCACTTTCCCTGCTATTTGCATATGGTCGACTCAATGATGATGATAATGATCATACTGAAAATGTTATTTTTAACATGTGTTCCAAGAATTTTATTTTCTGTAGTCATGATTTATATAAACGTTAGAGATATATGTCGATCTGGGACTAACTACCTGCACAAGGAAGGTGTTTGAGTAATACAAAGTTTGCTTTGAATTTGAAAATTAAGCAGTTGTTATTAGCCATGATTTATAAATTCAGAGACATCGAGTCTCTGTTTTCCGTTCAATTTGAGGGATTCGTAAAGTGTTGGGGAGCTTTTTACTGAGCAATGGTTTAGCTTATAGCCAATTTGGTAAATCATTTTAAAAGTTATCTGTCTTTAATTCATTGATTTTCTTGAATTTTAAACTGAAAATTTCTGTCGCTGTAGAAACCCTTTCATTTCAAATGTAGTTTATCAGTGAAAATGGCCACAAACCTAGCAATGTGGTGACAAAATTTGGAATACAAGGTAAGATAAAGACTTTAATATAGTTCCAAGATTATCAACACTTGATCATAGATATCACCTTTCTGAACTTCCCCGTGGAGCACACACGAACTTTTTCAAAGGGAATCCCAGAAGTAAATTTCATTGCATGGGAGAATCCAGGACCAAATGAAATCACAAATTCTATCATAAAAGAATTTCTCTAAGATTTTTTAAGAGCAGGAGGTTTCCTTATAATTTAAAGGTTACAACTCAAATCAGAACAGGAAAATAAGGATGATATTTCTCTCTTTAGATAAGATATTCGCGTAGTTGAACTCTTGCGTTGAACAAATTGAATAATTCTTTCTATTATCTGTCTAGTAGTAAGAAGACTCCCAAAATGCAGATTTTGATACTGGGTCAGATGGATCAATACAAGCTAAATCCAAAAAATTGGCTAATGAGAATGGCAACTCCCAGAGCCATTGCTATAATGGAAGATGCCCATGTGAGTTTCTCAGTGATTCTAGGTACCCTATCCTTTAGTGCCTGACTACATGAACCTAGAAATACTGTATAGCTTCCCATTGCAACTACTGTCCCAAGTAAGAACATAATGAGAAAAGCAGTACCAGCCAAGCGTGAAGGCAAAGCAAGCGCAGGCAAGACGATCATCAGAGCATCTGGTTGGAAACCATGAACAATTCCAGTGGCAAATGTAGCAAGACCAATCTTCTTTTTTACAACAGCAGGGTTTTCAAGAGATTCATAGACACTAACATCACACTCACCGTTTTCAAGGGCAACACATGGAGTGGGGATTTCCGAAGCTTCCCTAATACCCATAGCACCAATAGCAAGTAGAGTTAATCCTACCACTCTTGTGCCCCAATTTCTGATGATTTCAATGTGGAGCCGATCCTTCAGAAGCAGAAATAGTAACCCAAATATAACTTGACCAGCATCATGGCCACAGCCCCAAAGGGCTCCAACTGCAGCACTTTCCAATCGAGTACGGCCAATTGACAGTGGAGCCAAAGCAGCAAGGTGGTCTGGCCCTGAAAGGGTATGTAAGCAGCCAGCAAAGAAACCAGTCCAAGCACTACTCAGTAATTCAGTCCGGAGCAGCCTGCCTCCGGCCGCAGCAGCCGCAGGACCCCCGGTCTTAGCAGCAGTTTGAAATGTTGCAAAAGCTGCTGGTGCAAAAACTGGCTGGATCAAGAACACAATGATAGCAGAGAGTGCCGCAAAAGTTCCAGCAGCAATTGCCTGAAAAAGATACAGATTATGAGTAATTCTGTAATGTTTGTCCGGCTAAAAATGATTAATTCAACAATTTTAAGTTAAAGAGATTTTGAACTATTGGAACTTATAAATGTCTTATTGAGGAATAACTTATAAACGTCTTATTGAGGATTCAAAGTAAATATGCAAATGCTGCAGAGCCATGCGAGATTAGAGGGATGAGCTAACATGAAGTGGTGTTCACAAGCCACCACTTCTGTTCCTAATCAAGCTGACCATTAACAAGGTAAATACACTACAATTTCTTGGATAAAAAATTTGCACTGGAGTGCCAACAACAATGATTTAACATTAAGAAATTTCTATGTATAATGTCAAGAATGGTATGTGCACCGCAGCCATAGATTTTCAATACACTAGTTCTGGTTCTGCTCTTTGCAAAGTTGTATGCCTGTAAAACTCCACCAGTGTCAGTCTTCACTAATTTCACATAAACATTTATATAGCAACTCAGAAGTTTCTTTTATAAAAATCGAAACATTCAACATCAAGAACTTGAAAGGAACTGCACCAATTAGCCACTACTGCAGACTTAAAACACCAAAACACAAATCTTTCTCAGTTCTACTACAGATAGGTCCTTCAAACTAGATACCCACGATAACAGTATGTGTAGGGCTAACGCAACTAACAGATTCCAGTACATATATAAGCATCAACATTGATAAAGGTGAGGGTAAATGCTTCTAAAATAAGTCAATTTAGCACATATTACCATAACAAAACCTCAAGACACAAAAGAACTCAAACTTAAACTTTGAACACCGAGAAACCAATGAGAGCTTCCAACCAAATTTACTCTCTACCTCTACCTATTAGCCAGTAAAGTACAAAAGGTAACAAATGGAAACAGAATATCAAGTCAGTGCACCTCAAAGCATAACAGCCCATGCATCAGAAAGTGATGCAGGGGAGCCGGGCTAGATGTCATTCTGATCTTATGACTCATGAAGCTCATGACCGGTTGATAGAAAGTCAGAGCACCTAAAAGCCTAATAGCCTATGTATCAAAATGTTCCACAGTGAGTAGCTTCGCTAGATTTTGTTCTAACCTTAAGAATTGAGTCCTTGATTGGTTGATGTTGAATCCGCGAAGTAGATAAAATTCATACAGAAAATGAAAAGAAAAACATTATTGAACCAAAAAGGTATTTATAGGACAAGAGTCTTTAATTAGAAATGTAATCCCAAAGGAAAAAGCAATGTTGCCTAATTAACCTTCCTAAAGTAACATCTTCCTGAAGGATAAAAATAATTGGAAATGTAATTAACATAAGAAAACATTTAAACATAAGGAAAGATAATAATCAATTAATGCCTCATTAGCAATCGTTCCTGTGGCAGAAAAAACAATAAAAGATTATACTGGTAACCTAATTCTTCAATTCCGACAAAACAACTCTTGACAAGTAAAACTAAATCCATGGACAATTCTTTTGTTCAAGAAGAACCTAGGCATGCTTTCAAGGACTACAAATTGAAGTTGAGTGACCTCATTCAACAATCAATAAGCAGCGAATGTTACAACGATTTTCAAACAATAGCTCAATGAATACAATGAATTTAAGGCCAGATTTCGCAGTATGACATGTATAATAAAAATTAAAATTCTGATTAAACTACATTGGTAAATTGTTTATCTGGAACAAAAACAGGAGTTTTAAAGAGGGAAACACCACTAAGGATTTGAAAAAAGGCATGCGGAATACAATGAACATATTATTAAATAAAAATTATTTAAACGAATACATATATTCTGTACTACATAAAATCACTAATTTGAAGAAACAAACAGCCTCTTTTACCTAACCAAAATTCCATTCTATGGCCACAAAATAATTTCAAGTCTTAAGCTATATTAAAAATTCCTGAATGAAGGGGTTAATATTTGCAAATGTTCAAAGTTTAATTCTGATTATTGCTTCATTTGCCAAATCGTATACACTAATTGATGCCCACTTCTACAACTTTCCATTTAATTGACTTTCTTTTCTTTTGCTCCACCAAATTACTGGGAACAAAAAATGCGAAAAAAATATTTAAAAAATTAAAAGGCTCAAAATTTATCTTCTTTTTCTCTGTTATTGTACCAAGCAACAGCCCATTACTCACCAGCCCAATTGCCCTAAACTCCTAATTCACCACAAAGCCACATAATTCAACAAACCCAGATTCAAATAACAAATAATTCAAATAAAAAACAGTTTCTTTTGCAGAAATTACAAACCTTTTTCTGTCCAACAGCACTTGCAGCGATCTGCTTGACAGAAGGAGCACTGGGTATCGACTCACCCAGTGAGTCTTCTCGAGAAGAAGAGGTAGACTGCAAATTGTTCAACTTTGACGAAGAAGAATAACAGAACTGAGATGGATTCTCTTTTTTGCACGAAATTGAGCTGAACCGCCTGGAATCGGGCCGTGAAAGAGGGAAAAGACCGAGTTTCGGTGGGTCAAAACGCGCCAGTGGAGGCTTAAGAGGCGAGAACTTGAGATGGGTTGGGGAAGATGAATATAGAAGCCTTTCCATGGCTTCTGTGGAGAGTTAGCGAGAGAGAGAGAGAGAGAGAGAGTTGATGAAAGGATAAAGTTTTGGAAGAGAGAGAGGGGTTAACCCAAACTTGAAAGAAATTTGGGATTATATTATATTCTTCATCGCTTTTCAACAATTAATTATGGTCAAATTCTAAAAATTTAATAATCTCATATTAATGGAAAAAAATAAGTAAAGAAATTTTAATCAGTTTTGAAATGTTGCAAAAGCTGCGTGAAAACTGGCTGGATCAAGAACACAATGATAGCAAGTTGCCGCAAAAGTTCCAGCAGCAATTGCCTGAAAAGATACAGATTATATATATCTGTAATGTTTGTCCGGCTAAAAATGATTAATTCAACAATTTTAAGTTAAAGAGATTTTGAACTATTGGAACTTATAATGTCTTATTGAGGAATACTTATACGTCTTATTGGGATTCAAAGTAATGAAATGCTGCAAGCCATGCGAGATTAGAGGGATGAGCTAACATGAATGGTGTTCACAAGCCACCACTTCTGTTCCTAATCAAGCTGACCATTACAGGTAAATACCCGGTAAAATTGGCATGATAGAGTTGTCAATCCTTGGAGGGATCAATTGGTCTGCACATACTTTATTTTACATTAACCTAAGAATTTATACTTTTATGCATATTTAATGCAATATTCTATATATACATTGAGATGCCCACTCTCTTGACCTTCACTTAGTTCAATTGTATTTTCTTTTACTTAGTATTAGTTATTGATTGAAGACAGTAGAAAAATGCATCTAGTAAACTAAGGTAGGTATATTAATAAATATTGCACTTATTTGATTGGTGATCCATATTCTGTTAGGAGAATGACAGTTGTGCGTTTGAACTAATGCTTTATTTGAGAATAAGCCAAGATGGCTCCAGAAGAAGAGAGTGGATTTAAATCCTTGCATGACTTTATTTTCCACCACTAAAATTGGGAGTTGTTTAAACAAATGTTCAGGGAGACATTTTGTAATGGATTGAAAGTTCACATTCTTTTGTAGACATATCATTTCTTAGGATACCATATGACTGCGATATTCTTTTAGCAAGAATGGGTATTTCTTCACGATGTTAACTGTTGGATTGTTTTCACGGTTTCAGATGAAGACAGCAGCAGATGTGTGTGTGCTTTATGACATTGAGAAAAAGCACAAGCACTAGTTCATCAGCTTTCTTTATTTCAGATTACTCTCATTGTGGTTATCCTCAATTGCCTACTTTTCAGCGTTCCATCAGATATTTCGAAAGTGGCAGATTGATATTGGCCTGAAAAGAATTATGAATACTTTGGTGATTATAAAGTTGTTGGTTTTCCTCTCTGGTTCGCATTGGGTGTGTGCATTCCAAGAATCACTTTCCCTGCTATTTGCATATGGTCGACTCAATGATGATGATAATGATCATACTGAAAATGTTATTTTTAACATGTGTTCCAAGAATTTTATTTTCTGTAGTCATGATTTATATAAACGTTAGAGATATATGTCGATCTGGGACTAACTACCTGCACAAGGAAGGTGTTTGAGTAATACAAAGTTTGCTTTGAATTTGAAAATTAAGCAGTTGTTATTAGCCATGATTTATAAATTCAGAGACATCGAGTCTCTGTTTTCCGTTCAATTTGAGGGATTCGTAAAGTGTTGGGGAGCTTTTTACTGAGCAATGGTTTAGCTTATAGCCAATTTGGTAAATCATTTTAAAAGTTATCTGTCTTTAATTCATTGATTTTCTTGAATTTTAAACTGAAAATTTCTGTCGCTGTAGAAACCCTTTCATTTCAAATGTAGTTTATCAGTGAAAATGGCCACAAACCTAGCAATGTGGTGACAAAATTTGGAATACAAGGTAAGATAAAGACTTTAATATAGTTCCAAGATTATCAACACTTGATCATAGATATCACCTTTCTGAACTTCCCCGTGGAGCACACACGAACTTTTTCAAAGGGAATCCCAGAAGTAAATTTCATTGCATGGGAGAATCCAGGACCAAATGAAATCACAAATTCTATCATAAAAGAATTTCTCTAAGATTTTTTAAGAGCAGGAGGTTTCCTTATAATTTAAAGGTTACAACTCAAATCAGAACAGGAAAATAAGGATGATATTTCTCTCTTTAGATAAGATATTCGCGTAGTTGAACTCTTGCGTTGAACAAATTGAATAATTCTTTCTATTATCTGTCTAGTAGTAAGAAGACTCCCAAAATGCAGATTTTGATACTGGGTCAGATGGATCAATACAAGCTAAATCCAAAAAATTGGCTAATGAGAATGGCAACTCCCAGAGCCATTGCTATAATGGAAGATGCCCATGTGAGTTTCTCAGTGATTCTAGGTACCCTATCCTTTAGTGCCTGACTACATGAACCTAGAAATACTGTATAGCTTCCCATTGCAACTACTGTCCCAAGTAAGAACATAATGAGAAAAGCAGTACCAGCCAAGCGTGAAGGCAAAGCAAGCGCAGGCAAGACGATCATCAGAGCATCTGGTTGGAAACCATGAACAATTCCAGTGGCAAATGTAGCAAGACCAATCTTCTTTTTTACAACAGCAGGGTTTTCAAGAGATTCATAGACACTAACATCACACTCACCGTTTTCAAGGGCAACACATGGAGTGGGGATTTCCGAAGCTTCCCTAATACCCATAGCACCAATAGCAAGTAGAGTTAATCCTACCACTCTTGTGCCCCAATTTCTGATGATTTCAATGTGGAGCCGATCCTTCAGAAGCAGAAATAGTAACCCAAATATAACTTGACCAGCATCATGGCCACAGCCCCAAAGGGCTCCAACTGCAGCACTTTCCAATCGAGTACGGCCAATTGACAGTGGAGCCAAAGCAGCAAGGTGGTCTGGCCCTGAAAGGGTATGTAAGCAGCCAGCAAAGAAACCAGTCCAAGCACTACTCAGTAATTCAGTCCGGAGCAGCCTGCCTCCGGCCGCAGCAGCCGCAGGACCCCCGGTCTTAGCAGCAGTTTGAAATGTTGCAAAAGCTGCTGGTGCAAAAACTGGCTGGATCAAGAACACAATGATAGCAGAGAGTGCCGCAAAAGTTCCAGCAGCAATTGCCTGAAAAAGATACAGATTATGAGTAATTCTGTAATGTTTGTCCGGCTAAAAATGATTAATTCAACAATTTTAAGTTAAAGAGATTTTGAACTATTGGAACTTATAAATGTCTTATTGAGGAATAACTTATAAACGTCTTATTGAGGATTCAAAGTAAATATGCAAATGCTGCAGAGCCATGCGAGATTAGAGGGATGAGCTAACATGAAGTGGTGTTCACAAGCCACCACTTCTGTTCCTAATCAAGCTGACCATTAACAAGGTAAATACACTACAATTTCTTGGATAAAAAATTTGCACTGGAGTGCCAACAACAATGATTTAACATTAAGAAATTTCTATGTATAATGTCAAGAATGGTATGTGCACCGCAGCCATAGATTTTCAATACACTAGTTCTGGTTCTGCTCTTTGCAAAGTTGTATGCCTGTAAAACTCCACCAGTGTCAGTCTTCACTAATTTCACATAAACATTTATATAGCAACTCAGAAGTTTCTTTTATAAAAATCGAAACATTCAACATCAAGAACTTGAAAGGAACTGCACCAATTAGCCACTACTGCAGACTTAAAACACCAAAACACAAATCTTTCTCAGTTCTACTACAGATAGGTCCTTCAAACTAGATACCCACGATAACAGTATGTGTAGGGCTAACGCAACTAACAGATTCCAGTACATATATAAGCATCAACATTGATAAAGGTGAGGGTAAATGCTTCTAAAATAAGTCAATTTAGCACATATTACCATAACAAAACCTCAAGACACAAAAGAACTCAAACTTAAACTTTGAACACCGAGAAACCAATGAGAGCTTCCAACCAAATTTACTCTCTACCTCTACCTATTAGCCAGTAAAGTACAAAAGGTAACAAATGGAAACAGAATATCAAGTCAGTGCACCTCAAAGCATAACAGCCCATGCATCAGAAAGTGATGCAGGGGAGCCGGGCTAGATGTCATTCTGATCTTATGACTCATGAAGCTCATGACCGGTTGATAGAAAGTCAGAGCACCTAAAAGCCTAATAGCCTATGTATCAAAATGTTCCACAGTGAGTAGCTTCGCTAGATTTTGTTCTAACCTTAAGAATTGAGTCCTTGATTGGTTGATGTTGAATCCGCGAAGTAGATAAAATTCATACAGAAAATGAAAAGAAAAACATTATTGAACCAAAAAGGTATTTATAGGACAAGAGTCTTTAATTAGAAATGTAATCCCAAAGGAAAAAGCAATGTTGCCTAATTAACCTTCCTAAAGTAACATCTTCCTGAAGGATAAAAATAATTGGAAATGTAATTAACATAAGAAAACATTTAAACATAAGGAAAGATAATAATCAATTAATGCCTCATTAGCAATCGTTCCTGTGGCAGAAAAAACAATAAAAGATTATACTGGTAACCTAATTCTTCAATTCCGACAAAACAACTCTTGACAAGTAAAACTAAATCCATGGACAATTCTTTTGTTCAAGAAGAACCTAGGCATGCTTTCAAGGACTACAAATTGAAGTTGAGTGACCTCATTCAACAATCAATAAGCAGCGAATGTTACAACGATTTTCAAACAATAGCTCAATGAATACAATGAATTTAAGGCCAGATTTCGCAGTATGACATGTATAATAAAAATTAAAATTCTGATTAAACTACATTGGTAAATTGTTTATCTGGAACAAAAACAGGAGTTTTAAAGAGGGAAACACCACTAAGGATTTGAAAAAAGGCATGCGGAATACAATGAACATATTATTAAATAAAAATTATTTAAACGAATACATATATTCTGTACTACATAAAATCACTAATTTGAAGAAACAAACAGCCTCTTTTACCTAACCAAAATTCCATTCTATGGCCACAAAATAATTTCAAGTCTTAAGCTATATTAAAAATTCCTGAATGAAGGGGTTAATATTTGCAAATGTTCAAAGTTTAATTCTGATTATTGCTTCATTTGCCAAATCGTATACACT